AATGTCCCCAGGAAGGCAGTAGGTGGTACTCTAGCATTGGATCCCTGCCACTCATGTGGGAGACCCAGATAGAGTGCCTGGCTCTTCAGCATGGTTATAGCCATTTAGGGAGTGAACTAACATGTGAAAGATGGAAGATGGTTTAATCCAACCACACCCCCACTTACCTCTCTCCCATCCTCCCTCACTCCTCTCTGTGTTACTCTGCCTTTCAAATATGTAAATCTTTTGAAAATCCATCACTTTTCCTTTTTAGCCTCTGAATTTCATACACAGAAATATCTTTCATACTCCAAGTCTACAAATTCGACCATGGTTTTTTCCAGAACATTGTTGATTGATTTGCTTTATTTCTTTCCTAAGTAACCCTTTCATCCATCTAAAACTGATTTTAGTATAAGGATGTATGCTAGCTATCATCTGTTAGCACTTGCCATGGTATACCATGACTCCAATCCCTTGCCACAGAGAATAAAAAGCTAGAAATGAGATTGTGTAGGCTCATTCGGTAAATATGGCTCAGTAGAGTTTATATTCTGCTGATGACACACACTTGGTCAAGATTTAAAAAGCAGAAAGGAGGTAGAGACCATTGACTGTGCCAGAGGACAAACAGGCCCTGACAGAAGCTGTTTGTGGCAACCAGCCTGCAGGTTGGAGCACTTGCTTTGCACCTGCTAGTATGAAGCCGTGCTGCAGCGGGACAGTGCCAGTTTGCTGTCCTGGGGCCGCAGGTGATCATGTGACTGATTTTGCAGCTTCCGTTCAGACTTCGTTTTCCATGATTTGATTCTCTGTATTCTCTTCTGCTTGGAAATCTAGAGGAATTTGTTTCCTGACACAGCGTGCAACAGTTATCCAGTCCACGCTTTGTATCAGTCAAGATGCTACTGCACGGTTTTATCGGCTAATTCCTTCCCCAGAAAGTCTAAATACCACCAGTGCCATTGACTGACTTCTGGATTTCTTTAACGTATCCATAGTTTACAGTTGTTTCCTGCCAGTTCCTGTTCTGTTTTACTGTTGACCAAATGTAATCCCTAGCTCCACCCACACCTAGATTACTATTAATCTGCAGAAACTTCCTGGCTATTCCATTTTCTAAGTCTTACTTTAGTATGATTTTGTAAAGTTCTCCCACAAAAAAAAAATTATTTTGGTATTTTAATTGGGTTTGCATTACATTTTCAGGTGAGTTTATTTTATCTATATAGGTGTCATGTGTTATCAAATTAATCTTTTTTTCTGATTCCATTGTGCATTGGGTCTTTCTAAGTTATATAGAAAAAAATCAGTAATTTTTATATATTATTTTAATATATTTTTTATATTTTATGTATTTGTTATATATATATATATATGCCACTTTCCTAAGGACTGGTAATAATTTACCATTCTCTAATGTGCCAAACACTTTTAAAGATTTTATATTAACTCATCTAATCTGTGACAATACATACTGTTATCATCTCTGGCTTAAAGCTGACAGCATGGAGGTGAGGAGTGGTTCGTGTAACTCAGCATGCATGTGTGGGTGGAGAGGAAAGGCTTGGCGTTAGTTGTCATTTTTTCACATCAAGCATAAAACTCCCTTCCAGTGAGAAACAATTTGAGGGTCTGCATTATCAGCTTTTTGGACCTAGGCAGCTCTGTGCAGGGTTGGGATGTGCGAGGGATTAGACACTCAGACAAAGCCAGCATCCTGTGGCCATCTGAACTGCGAGCATGATGATAGCACACACTGGCCAGCTCGGTCAGGCCCGCAGCCTTCAGGAACCGTTTTGCCCTTTCATGCTGATGGTGGGTTCTTTTGAGTTCCTTTATTTCTCGCGTACTATCAGTGTGGAATTAGACCTTTACTAAAGGTCCTGTTGAATTGAAAGACAGGGGAGGGAGTACTCTAGTAGGTTTCTTTCCAACAGTGTCAGCACTGAGAGGTTCTAAAATCCAGATATTGAAAAAAAAAAACACCTTCTGTTGCTTTAATAAACCAATCATGACCTCTGAAGCAGTTTTGCTTCCTAATAAAATGTGCTTGGTTTATAAAGTATAATAGGTTCACATAGTTCAGCCATATTAGCAAAGGATAAATAAGAAAAATATCTTCATTAGCCCTGTTCCCAGGACCTTGGCCTCACTTACCTGATTGTCACAGAATAGTGTACAAGGACACAAAATTCTCCCCAAAGTCACTGCCCTGCGTCTGTGTTTCCAGGATTAGCCGTGATGCACAGATCCTCATAAGGATCCCCAATCATCAAGACTTGTGAAATTAACATCTAGAATGTGGCTTAAAAAGGGAGAGATGAGCCATATTTTTAAAACAAACAAGCAACAGAAATGCCCTTTGTAACCTCTGTAGAAACGGGATCGCCATCACAAGTTCCCATAAGGGTTAATTGGCAGGGTGAGGTATAATCATTAAGGTTGTTCCTATCTAAGGCTCCCTGAACTTCTTAAAATTGTAATCAGAGTCATGCATATGCATGCAGCATTCTCATGCGAGGGTAGGGCTCAAAGAGAGGAGACTCTGTAGTCTCATTAGGTTCCCAGAGGGACGAATCCAAAAACAATTAAGGACTAATGAGTGACTCAGCCAAGCCAGAGAAGTGTGTGATCTTACCTTGGGGCTAGGAGAATGACACGCAGCTTGCAAAACAGACCAGATTGGATGAAATGTACATATATGATTAAGCTAGAAGCTTCTTGGACCTATCAAGATAACCAAATTTCCAGAAATCAAGTTTCACAATCCAACTGGCTTTCCTTGTTTCTTCAGAATTGAGCACGCCCGGCACTGTGCAGAGGAGGTCAGAGGAAAGCAGAGACAAGGAACAAAGACCGACTGGCGAAGCCAGAGTTGCTCTCCTTGGATGGGGTAAAGCTGAAGGACTCTATCAGCTGCCCACTGTGGCCAGGCCTCTTTGGATGATGAGTTACTGTGAACCCCTGGGTTGTTTTGTCTTTTACAATTGGTGAGGTGGCCTGCAGCCCAAGTGACTCCACTCTGGCATGGTCTGGGCTAGTGGGGCTACTGCAGGAGCTCAGGACAGAGTAATGACATCCACAACTGTTAAGGCTGCCTTTCCTCACAACACTGTTCCCCGTCTGCCTTGTAAGGTCACAGTCCCGGGTAAAGGTAGTCACAAAGTCAGAGGGGTCTTCTGCTTTATACCTTCCAAGGAGCCCTGACTAAACCACTGCCCCAGTCCCAAAGTTAAACACAGCCCATTCTCAGGCCAGCACCATGGTGTACTAAGCTAGGCTTCTGCCTGCAGTGTCGCATCCCATGGGTACCAGTTTGAGTCCCAGCTGCTTCATTTCCTGTCTAACTCTGCAAATATACCTAGAAAAGCATCGGAGAATGGTTCAACTTCTTGGGAACCTGCACCCACCTGAGAGAGCCAGAAAAAGCTGCTGGCTCCTGGTTTCAGATCCACTCAGCTCTGGACTTTGTGGCCATTTGGGAAATGAACCAGCAAATGGAAAACTGTGACTCCAAAGCTCTCCATCATGCTAGGTGAGTGGCACAGCCATGTCCGCTGGCACAGACATCTAAAGCCTCCTCACTAATGAGCAGGCTGCCCAGGGGTGGGAAAGGGAAAGCAGGGGCAGAACCCTGCAGTGAATGGGATCTGTGCCTCAGGGAAGGTGACACAGAGGCTCTCCCCAAGGTCCGGAAGAAGCAGATCCAGGCAGGTTCTGGCATTCCGTGTGGAACATCACAAAGATTCTCGATCATTAGGTAACATTTTTAATTAACTGAATTCTTTTTCAAAATTCTTGACTCATCCTTGCATATTTCTAACTTTAAGAGAATTTTAAACATCTATTTTTCTATTGGAAAGTCAGATATACAGAGAGGAGGAAAGACAGAGAGGGAAATCTTCCCTCCGATAATTCACTCCGCAAGTCACCACCATGGCTGGTGCTGTGCCGAGCCAAAACCAGGAGCCTCGAACTTCCTCCAGGTCTCCCATGTGGGTGCAGGGTCCCAAGGCTTTGGATCGTCCTTGGCAGTTTTCCCAGGTCAGAAGCAGGGAGCTGGATGGGAAGCGGGGCTGCCAGGATTAGAACCATCATCCATATGGAATCCTGGTGCATTCAGGGTGAGGGCTTTAGCTGCTAGGTTACCACACCAAGCCGAAGAAATCTTTGAATACAAGTAATTCTGATCAATACCCAAATCATCCAGTATAGTAAGAATTTAATATATACTACAGCAAATAATGGAAAGAGAAAAGTCCTTCCTCTCCCAAAACTATCATTTTCAAGTTTCTGGAAGTCCTCTTAGGATTTTTGTCGTTCCAGAAAATTTACATGCCTTTAAAAAACGCAAATGAGGCCCCACTGTGCATGAGCCTCCAGTAGGGCTTCTTGTGCCTACCCACCCTCTTCTCAGTGGCTGTGGAATACTACTGCTGTTATTTGTGAATGGTTTCCCCAAATATTTAGAAAACTTAAACCCTAGGGCATTGTCCCCAGTGCACTTCCTACACCTCGCACACCCTGCAAGTTGTCCACGTGCACTATAAAGCCAGTCCCCAGTAGGGGCGCTATTGGTCAAAACTGTCAGGATTTCTTAGCTACACCCAACCTGCCATCTTGGGACTTTCCACTGATGGGCCAGCAAGATCAACTGCAGAATTTCGAAATTTTCCGAGGTTAGCAATGCGCAGTAGGACCCAGTCTCACAGTGCCAGCAGTGAGCGGCACCAACACTGTGAGGTTGGGCGGGCCCTGTGTAGCAAACACACTTCCCACTTAGGCTATTTCCAACCTGGAGTGAATCCATCAAGAAGTGATTCCTTGTCAGTCAGGGTGTCTGGACTATCTAGCATTCCTCTAAAAAAGCTGGCGCAGATACCTCCCTCCACCAGCAGGGCGTGAGTGCACCTATTGAACCCCACCCTCAGTGACATGGTGTTTTTTTTTTTTCCCAAGACTTTCACTTTTTCCACACGAATAGGTAAAAGTAAATGTTAGCGTGCCAGTTTGAGTTCTTTAATGTAAGTTAGGACATAGGTTTATTTTAAAATAAATACTTGATTTTAAGAGGTCTTTTCCCCATCCCCATCCCCCAGTAAGCATTTTATGTTGCTATTCCTTAGGTTTTGGATGTCTTCTGTCAAGCAGCATCTTCCTAAACTGTGTAATAAATAAAATATGGGGGTGGGGGTTGGTAGGTCGGGTTGTCTGGCAATTTGTTTTTCTCTAAGCCTCCGTTGGCTTGGGCTGAGCTAGTACTTCAGCCGATTTCTCCATTTCTCTGCTTTGGCAAGATCTTCTGCAATTGTTCTAATCATTTGATCGGTAGTTTTTTTCAAAATGCTTGCTGTCTTTAGAGCGTGATCCAAAGCTGAGTTTAAAATCTATAGAAGAAAAGTCCACACATTTCAGTTACATAAATCTACCACTACTTCTCTTCACCGAGTTCCCTCATTATTAAACACTGCCAGGTGGAACTGGTGAAGTGTTGTGTTTCCCACAGTTTATTTTGTTGTTCAGGTCTGGTTGCCTAGGAAACTAGACTGCGATGGAATATATCCGTGAGAGAAGGGAACAGAAAAAAGGGGGGAGCACAACACGTTGCTGATGAGCATGAGTCAGAGGATGAGGTCAGCAACCTGCTGGGCAGTTTGCCAGCTGCAGAGAAAGAAAAGAAAGGGAAAAGCTCTTAGGTGGCCGTAACCATGGGAACCCAGGGATGAGTGCACGGGCAGGCATGTGTCCACATGTTTGAAAGTGGCCTGGGTGATTGGAGCTAATGAGGAAAACAGGAAACTGCCCTCACGCCCGTCTCTGGAGCAGGTGCCCATGTGCCAAGCCTGGGCTGGGGAATCCTGGAGCTGACGCCCCACCTACCCAATACTGGCTGCAGGAAATGTCCCGTGGAGTTCGGGAATCATTGAAAGCAGGTGGTAGCTAAGTCATGCCTTTTGGATGTGGCTGACACAAATTTGTTTTTCAGCCTTTTCTGTTTCCCCTGCACCTGAGACGTCTTAAGCATCTTCTTCTGGGCTCATCAAGCCCCAACTTGGGAGCTGCAAGGACCCTGGAGGTTCTCCCCCAACACGCTCACCTTGGATTCCGTGTCTTTGGCGGTACTGAGATCACACAGGGATTTGCTCCCTGATATCTTGCAGGACTGGACGGGGCGTAAGGGAGAGGCGGGGTTTGGGCTGGAGGCCGAAAGGGGCTGCAGATTTTTTCTGGAAGGCAAAAGCACATGGATCCTGAGTGGTGCCCCAGCTGGCACCAGCTAGGTACTAGTTCCCAGTGTGTGTACTGTGGCTGGGGGTGCTCTTAGTTGGAGAGGGCTTAGCTGGAAACCCTGTTACTGTGACCTTGAGGGCATCTCTTCCTGGGCTTTGTCCCCAGTTCCTTTGGTACAGAAAGGGGAGAAGCTCCAATGTGAGTTTTATTCAGTTTCCATTTTTTTGAGACCACCCATCTACCCTGTATATTTATAGACAAATTATGCACAAAACTGCCAGTTGCCGACAACATTGGGTCAAGTTTGTGCTAGCACCAGTGAACATTTGCTGCCAAGAGGTGCCAGCAATAGGAAAAATAAATAAATAGCAGCAGTACTCCTTTAAGGGAACAGGCTCCTATAGACCACTACACTGAAATTATTCTCTCTGTAGCAGTTGTACACTAGTTTGTCCTGCAGGCTGGCTTATCACATGGGCTCCATACTCCAGGCAAGTCCGCATCATGTGCAAATACTGAGGCAGAACTCTGGGAAGTGAGTGGCAACGCCAGAGTGAGAAGGGCAGGTCTCTGGCATCCCCCCACCACCTTTCTGTAGCCAGCCACCACTTGGCACAGCAGCATCAACAGCCACCGCTAGCTGAGCGCAGAACACATGAGCTGACTACCATCCCGAGTGCTTTCCATGCCTTCACTCAGTCCTCAGTGAGTCTGGCATTAGCATTCCTGATTTACATGCAAGGAGTGGAGCCATAGAGAGGGTCAATAGCCTGCCCAAGGACACAGATCCAAGGTGTGCACTCCAGAGGTCACAGCTGCTGGATTCAGAGAGCAGGTCTGATTACAGATCCTGACCTGTAGCTGTTTAGCCACGCCATTGGCTCTGCCTATTAAACAGTCCCATGACACACAGACTTCTCTCTTTCCAGCTCAGCAGCCAAGTCTCCCTGGTCACACCTGGATTATTACACTAGCCTCCTTACTTGGCTTCAATGCACCATCTGGGATTCCTTGAATCCATGCTACCTCTCTCAGTAGCTAGAGTGATCTTGTAAAATACTTAACTTTGTTTTCTGCAAATTCATGGATGACTTCGTTTCCTATGATTCCCAAGAGTTTCATCCTGTTTCCTGGATCTAACATACTCCTGTATCATGTGGTCTTGCCTACCCCGCCAGCCTCACCTTGCCAGGCACATCTTACCCCTGCCCGTCTCTGCCCACGTCCCAGTCCCCGTTCCGGTCCCTGCCCCTGCCCCGATCCCCATTCCTGTCCCTGTCCTTGCCCCTGCCTCCTCTGGGCTCCAGCCACACTGGCCCAGGGCCTTCCCATGCCGGAGCACTCCTAAGCAGGTGCATTCTTCCCTCCTCTCTCCGTGAGCCCTTGTGGTTCACTCATTCATCCTCACTCATGGGAGCTTAGCCCTTGAACCTCCAAGTGAGGTCGGCCTCCCCATGCGTCCCTTCCCCACCCCAGATTCTTGGCTCTCACAGTCTGGATCCCTGAGGGCAAGGACGGCTACTGAGGCTACTGACGTGGTCCTCTTCCTTCTCGTGTCCTCATTAGCATATCCCTGAACCCAACCAGTGGGGGCTGATTCCATTAGGAGCAGAAAATGGTTTAGAGAATACTCACTTCCCAGGTGTGGGTGCCTGTTCATTGGGAATGGATTTAGGATTCACTTTCTGGGAACAGATCCATTTTGATTTTGAGCAAGCTGAAAAAAGTTTGGTATGATTAACCTCAGAACATCTGCAATGAGTACCAGCAAGCACATGGCTGTGCTTTTCAGCATGAATCAGTTGACAAAATGTTCAAAGACACATAAGAAAGAGAACACAGAAAGTAACTTTCTATTACATATTTCTGAATTTAGAAAAAGAGATTCAGCTTTAAATATATATATATGTATATATATATATATATATATATTTTTTTTTTATTGGAAAGGCAGAGATATAGAAACCAAAGGAGAGACAGAGAATCAGAGAAAGATCTTCCATCTGCTAGTTCACTCCCCAAATAGCGGCAGTGGTTGGGGCTGTGCCAGGCCAAACCCAGCAGCTTCTTCTGGGTCTCTCATGCAGATGAAGTGTCCAAGGCTTTGAGCCATCCTCTGCTGCTTTCTCAGGCCACAGGTGGAGAGCTGGATGGGAAGTGGAATAGTCGGGATACAAACCAATGCTCTTAAGGGATGCTAGCACCGTAGTTAGAGAATTAACCTGATACAGCAGCCCTGAGAATCAACCTCTAAGAGGAGTTTAGGTGCTCCTTGGGTGCTCGCTGTGTGACCTGGGCATGCTGTCTAATTTCTCTGAGCTTGAGTATTTCACCTAGCAATTGGAGGGAAAACAGCTTCCAAGAAGCTGGGCCGAGTGTATTCCTGAAACCCCTGCCAGCTTCAGGAGCAGGAATTCCAAGAGTCCGCAACTAACAGTTTAGTTACTGAGATAGGAAATAAAGACTCAGAAGAGAGGCAAGGGGCGCCTAGGAAGAAAAGCAGATAGGCAGGAAGGCGAGAGAACCGAGGCACAGCCCACAACGCAGCCTTCTGTCTCACTCAGGCCTCTCCCCACATCCTGCTCTCTTCATCCTCTTCTGTTCCCCCGCCAAGGCTCCTACCCCACTCCCTGGCATCCAGAAGCTGGCTTCACTGCCCCACAGGCGGACCCTGCCAGGGGTCCTGGAGGAGACTGTCCCCCAGGCACAGAAAGCAGGACAGGAGCCAGGGGGTGCACATTCAGTTCTGCCACCACCACCTTGAGGCACAATGAGTTCAGTTGCATCTTCAGGTCTACAATTCTGGGACCAAATGCACCATCTCCCCATCCACAGCTATGGCTCCAGCGTGTGAAGCAGCAGTCCCCTGCTTGCTCCCATCGGCTCTGGCCACCGGAGGGCTCCTTTGTAACACTGAGGAGACGCTCCACTTGTGTTGGCCAGTGGCGTTCAAGATCACGTTTCACATGACTCAGCTGGCAGTCCTCAGCTGTATACTAGAGGAAGAGGTCACACCAGATGCTGACCCAAGGCCATAGCAAGGAAACCTGCCCTGGGGCTTCCGGTCGTCTTAGAGACTGTCCATTTAAAAGAGTCTCTAATCAGAGGAGTGGGCAGCCGAGGCCAACCTTCTCCCTGGTGCCCAGCTTAGAGAGGGAGAGGAAGCGCTCGGAAGGCCCCCAGCGGAGAGCCAGGGAGACTGCTGAGGGTCCAGCAATAACTGCTGCCTCCCCCTTCCTGTTCCTGTGGCACACACTATCTTGTGTTCAGTACTTCACACATTTTGCCTTTGCTCTTTCTTATTTGGATGTAAGTTCCTGTACTCAAATGATCAGAAACTCCTTGGGAACCAGAAGCCATGCCTTAGCCATCTATAAATAAATGATGGTCAGAACCTGTGTTGTGATGTCTTTTGGACGTTCATGTCCCGGCTGCTCCACTTCTGATCCAGCTCCCTACTAATGTGCCTGGGAAAGCAGCAGAAGATGGCCCATGTGCTTGGGCCCCTACATCTCCATGGAAACCCGGATGGAGCTCCTGGCTTCTGCCCTCAGCCTGGCAGAGCCCCAGCCACTGCAAACATCTGGGGAACGAACCAGTGGATGTAAGTAAGATCGATCTCTCAATGTCTCTCACTCTCTCGTTCTGTTTTATTAATAATGAAGTTTTGATTTTTTTTTCACAAAGCAAAATTCTGCTTTAGTTATTGGGAATCAGATGTCTCAAGTCCATTTCTCTGCATCTGATGCTGAGGAAGGACATACTGAAAGTTTTCATCACCCTTGAGCCTAACAACGGGGGCACTTACTGAGGCCGTCATTTATTCAACAAGCATAACTTGTCTCCAGCTTGCCCTGGTGTGGCCCCAAGGGACTCCCTAAGACCTTCATCCCTGGGATCTCACAGTCCCTCCTGCCACCCAGATGGAGGGATGAGGAAATGTCCTGAGATGAATGCAGGAGACCTGGGAAGCAGTCAGGGAGGGCAGAACTTCCCCCACGGAAGTGGGGACCTCCGTCCCATGTGCCTTCTACCCCTAGGGAGACTGGGGCTGAGCCAGATGGGATCCAGCAGGAGATGGACTTACGTGATGAAGAACGGGGCTGGAATAGCATGCTCCCTTCACTCTGATTCAGGTAGCTCTGCCCTGGGCTGTTGTATCTGTAAAGAAATTCTAAGGAGAGAAGATCATAGAACATGCTGGTGAGTGCTGGGAGCCACACGGCTGCCCACACACAGGCCCACCCAAGGTCTCACCTTTAGGTGGTCGCTTAGGACCCTGAGTGCTGCCGCCATCCTCACATCTGGTGCTCTGCGGTCCAGCATAAGAATCAGAACAGAAGCTGGGACCTGTAACAGACCCACCCCACCCCAACCCCAACCGAGCCCAAGTTATACAGAGCAAGTGGGAGCTTCTTGGTTAGTCACAAAACTGGATGTGGAGAACAGTGTTCTAATGGTGCTAGGTGGATAGATATCAGGCTCTAGAAGACCAGCTTGGGAAGTGGTACCCAGCACATACAGGTCCTTGGTGGTCTGCCTGGTGGCAGATCTGTGACTGGCCCACTGACTTATGAGAGCAGCTTGTACTGGTAGCTGTTCTTGCTTGAGCACATCTACATTCTTGCTGTGGCTAAGAGCTTATGGTTCACCATGCAGGCAATTGAAAACCTGGTTTTCCTCCATGCAACCTTCATAAGCCCCCCTGGGAATACCCGAGTCACCACGTTGGCCTCACGGCCTCTGAGAGGCTGGCAGCATTAGAGTGTGGATGCAGAGGTGGGTCTCAGGCCTGCTGGGCAGGACCTCAGACTGCAGAAAGCCAGAGCATAGGAGCAGGAGATGGGGCAGGCCAGTGTGGAAGCTGGGACCACGACCAGAGTGAGGCTGCAGGCTGAGGTGAGGCTCCTATTGGCTCCAAGGGTCACCGGTGTGACCATAAACATGGGTACATTCTCCTGGAAAGGTGAGTGTGAGCTGGAGGTAGTGATTCATTTCTTTTTTTGTTTGTTTGTTTTTAAGATTTATTTTTATTGGAAAATCAGATATAAAGAGGAGAGACAGAAAGGAAGATCTTCAGTTCACTGATTCACTCCCCAAGTGGCCACAACAGCCAGAGCTGAGCCAATCCACAGCTAAGAGCCAGGAGCCAGGAAGTTTCTTTCTGGGTCTCCCACACAAGTGCAGGGTCCCAAGGCTTTGGGCCGTCCTCGACTGCTTTCCCAGGCCACAAGCAGGGAGCTGGATAGGAAGTGGGGCCGCTGGCATTAGAACCATATAGAATCCTGGTGTATGCAAAGCGAGGACTTTAGCCACTAGGCTACCATGCCGGGCCCATGACTCATTTCTAACACATAGCAGAAAGGATGGTGAATGACTCCCAAAACTAGCCCATAAAAGACATGGAAGCTGGACCAGTGGGGGAGCATGGCAAGCTAATCCTCCCTCTGCAGTGCCAGTATCCCATATATGGATGCCAGTTTGTGTCCCTGCTGCTCTACTTCCAATCCAATTGACAGCTTGTGGCCTTGGAAATCAGCAGGAGAGGCCCAAAGCCTTGGACATGCACCACATGGGAGACCCAGAAGAAGCTCCTGGCTCTTGGTTTTAGGCCAGCCCACCTCTGCTCTGGCCATTGCGGCCATCGGAGACTGAACCAGTAGATGGAGGATCTTTCTATCTCTCCCTGTCTCTCTCTGTAACCCTGACTTTCTAGTAAAAAATGAACAAATCTTTAAAAAAAATACAAATGCACCAATTTTAAAAAAGGAAAGACATGGAAGCTTCCATCTTGTGCTCACTCTATCCCTCCCTCTCTCCTTCTTTCTCTTGGAGCACCGGCTCTGCTATGTCAGAATGCTGAGCAAGCAGCCCACTTGACAAGGAGCTGAGCCCACTTGCCAGTGGCTGTGGGAACGAATCCCACTGCAAGCAGATCCTCCAGCTCCACTCTAACTTGGAGCTCCCCACAGTCCTGGTGAGCATCCTGAAGGCGGCCTCAGAAGAGATCCCAGGCTGGAAGCGCCCAGTGCCCAGGCTCCTGGCCCACAGAATCAGAGAGAAACCATGTTCATCACGTTGGAGCTGTGAGTTCCAGAAGGTTTCATTTCTCCCCTCCCCACCCCCTACCCCACCCCACAATAGACAACTAATCCATGGCAAGTCACTTCATTTCTCAGAACCTTCATTTCCTTATCATTAGGTAAGGACAATTAATTTCTTTCTTATAGGGGTGTTAGATAAGTTAAGTGATACACACTATGTGAATAGTTCTCTCTTTTTTAACCCTTATATTTATTTGAAAGGCAGAATTACAGAGCTCCTAGCTTTAGACCAGCCCAGCTCTGGCCATCGCAGCCATTTCCAAGCAGCCATTTCCAAATAGCCCAAATGGCTGCGATGGCCAGAGCAGGGCTGGTCTAAAGCCAGGAGCCAGGAGCTTCTTCTACAACTCCCATGTGTCTACAAGGTCCCAAACACCTGGGCCATCCTCTGATGGTTTCCCGAGCACATTAACAGAGAGCTAGATGGAAAGTGGAGCAGCCGAGATTCAAACTGGTATCTCTATGGGATGCCAGTGCTGTGGGTGCTGGCTTTACCCACTAGGTCACAACACTGGTCTCAGTTATCTAACTTTTTATTTCAGATCCCTCTTGCTCTCTTACAACAAGGTCTCTCCAGTGCTCTTGGCTATGTGGTTTTCATCTACCTATGTGTTACACACCATTTTCTATGGCTGAGGGCCATTTGGGCCCCTCCTCTGCCTTTCAAATAAAAAAATAAGAATCTTTCAAAAATGGTAACAAATCCATTTTATACTAACAAAATAACATGTTTCTAATGAAGACTATAATTTCTAAAGCAAGAAAAAAAAAGTAGTGAAGAGAGTGACACTGCATATGCTTGGGCAAAAATCTCAAATGTGGCTGAACAAGGTCGCTGGATTCTGTAACTGCATCTCCACCAGTGCGCTGCAGGGGGGCCCCTCGTGCAAACACCCATCTGGAGAAGGAGGGCTGTCAGAGCACCCCAGGGGTCTCTGGTAAGCCTAGTATTATGATGACGACTTGCAGCTGCTATCTGTCCAGCAGCCAGCTAACACTACAGGTGACTTAATGGAATGCCCAGTGGGAGCCGGCTTCAGGTGACAGGCGGCGTGAGGGGCAGCAGGCTGCCGGCTCTGGGCCTCACCGATCAGCTGGGGATGGGGCTCTGTGCTGGCAGGGCAGCTGAGGAACTGCCTGCGAAAACAGCCCCCTGACCCCACTTCCTCTTCCCCCAGGACAGTTCTGTCAGGAGCTTTTCTCTGCTCAAACTTCTTCTACATTTTAAAAATTATTTTTAATTTAACAGATTTCTTTATGTATTTGAAAGGCAGAGTTAGAGAGAGATCATTCACCTTTTGGTTCGCTCCCCACATGGCTGCAGAGGCCATGGCTGGGCCAGGCCAACACCAAGAGCCAGGAGCTTCATCTGGGTCTCCCATGGGGGTGCAGGGCCCAGCACAAGGGCCGTCCTCTGCTGCTTTCCCAGGTGCATTAGCAGACAGCTGGATCGGAAGTGGAGCAGCCAGGACTAGAACTGGAGTCCATGTGGGATGCTACCATTGCAGGTAGTGGCTTAACATCTTTTGCCAGCCCCTGCTTAAGCTTATCACTGAAAGTCCCTGAATTCCATACACTGGTGCTTTGAGGGCCTCCTCCCATGTCCTTCTTCTGTGACACACCAAGAGAGAAGTTCACAACCCCGATGGAGCAGCAGATAACCCCTGGCTGCTGGATGAGCCATGTTGGAAGGATGCAGACCAAAAGACCTGAGGAATTGCCAGGGTCCCAGATAGTTGGTACACTCAGCCAGGAACAGGTGTTGGCACTTCACGACACTTGACCTCATCTTATTGCATCTACTCAATAAAATCAAAAGGCTATGCAGTTCCCAGCGTAAGGTCAGGCTTTTAGTGGGCTGCTGGCCCAAGCACCCACAGTCTAGTACCCTCCACTCACTGAGGGCCGAGTCCCGACGCAGCAGGACCTTCTTGCAATCATCAGCAGCAGGTCCTCCACAGCTGATCCTTCTGTGGCTTTTCTTCTCCATCTTTTGCTTCCTACAAGAGGTAGAGATGGTCCCACGAACTTTCAGTACATTTCAAATCAAGTTATGGAATGCATTGGTGCACTGAATGGTTAAATGTCTGTGTCAGTGCTTTAAAGGAGGTGGAAGGCCAAGCTGCCTGCCTGGTTGGGGGCTTCCCCATAAAAAGGGGCACCAGCCCAATTTTGCTTGATAGGAACTTACTTACAAAACAAAATAATGTTGGATTCCACAGAGGATAATTTCTAATAATCAGAATGTACTCAAATTAGAAATGTATGGAATTCTCAACGTTTGGACCGTCCCCATACTCATGCCTCAGAATCTGTCCTGATCACATCAAGAAACCTCATTACCCATCAGTACAGGGGTCTCTTGGCTTCGGCTCTAGACTGGGGTGCCGCCGTGAATGCGGTGTAAAGAGCTTGTGGAGTTAGTAGCTGAATCCGGCCACCAGGGGGCATCAGAAGAAGCCACTGCACTTGGCATTGGTGGGGAGACTTCCTGTGCCTGTGGCTGCAGTCTCTTGGTCTCATAGGGATCCTAACTCCTTCCAAGGAACTCTCACTCACACAGTTCCTGAGCTCGTGCCCAGCCTCTGGGATACACCAAGAGCCCCCGGGGGAAAGCTGCTCATTCTTAGAGCCGATGGCCTGGTGCCCCAGACAGCCTGGCACGAACCAGCTGGAGGCATTGCCTAGCGATCGCACGCCTGCCCGGCCTCGCCCAGGCCTGCTGCTGGTGAACACAGGACAGCGCCTGAGCTTTCAGGGGTGGAGGGGGATGCTTAGGAGCCAGACCCCTTCCCGGTGGTGAAACAGCATGCTTTCCCCCTGAGTCACACAGTTCCTCACACCTCATTTTCTGTCTCCACCCTCCGCCACTGGGGCAAGTGAGCATCTGCTGGGCAGCAAGGGGAAGGCGGCTCCCTACAGCAAGCGGGGCCAGCAACACGGAGCCAGGCTTTTCCTGCACTAAAGGGACAACCCAGGGAAGATCCTGCAGAGAGGACACTTCTCCACGCCATAGGTTAGCTACAGAGCTTTGCCTCCGAAATGTCACACACGGATCAGCAGTTTACAATATTTACATACACATACATATAAAATGTTACATGTAATTACGTGTTATGTATATTATAAACATTGTAATTCTATATGCTACATATATTATGAATGTATAACATGTATGTGTATTATATAGATATATGGTGTTATATATAATTAGTACAGTATTAATATAAATATAATATAGTATTATACAATATAAAATATTATATATTTTTATATGTAAATATAGTATTAGCATAAAATATATAAATGTTCTATATTATCAATACATTCTAGTAGTACTATACTAATATTATATAATGCCACATATTAGTATTATAGATATTATTTGCCTACACAAACATCACAGCTTGCAAATATCCTGAAAACCCCAAGAAGTGATTTGCATCAGGAGAAATCTACTCCAATGGGGAGAAATGCAGTCCACCCTTCAGTACCTAATTCCCCAAGAATTCCATTCCCGGGCCAGACTTCCCCCTGCCCTCCTGTCAGACCTGATCTGACACTCAGGGGCGCTTTCTTTGCTGCGTGGTCCTTCATCAAAGAACACATTCAGCCGGTAACACCGGTCCCCATGCGGGGACTTAACGTGGTTTCGTCGGCAAGGGGATGGAAATGAGCATTCAGTAACAATGTTTAATCAAAATGTTCTCTAAACGCCAAGATGTTTTTATTATGCTTAATGAGACCTCAAACCTCAAACGCCTCCATGTTGGAGATTCTAATTCGCTCAGAGAAGCACCTGCTTAGTGCCTCCGATTTTAGAGATGAACAGAACTTGTGATGGGCGGGGTGGTTGCAGGAATGGTCCCCGCCAGATGACACGGGCATTTTTAGCACAAACTCCACACGGTTTCTTTTTTTAGGCGTGGAGGGATGGTAGGACACTGAGAAAGAGTACCTGCCCACGGACTGGATGCCTTCTAACCAGAAGCTTCCGCCCTTCCCACTCGGACACCTGCTTCTGTCAGAGCCCGTTATGTACAAACAACAGTGGGCGTGCTGGGCAGTGCGCTCCTCCCTGTGCCATAACTTTCTGAAGCTCCGGCCCCAGTCCACAGTGAGCAGGGCAGGTGGCGCGGCCTGGGCAGACTTCAGGGGAGAGCAGAGAGGGTGGGAGCAGCAGCTCAGCCCTGGTGCGGGTGGGTGGTGCCCATAGTCACGGTAGGGATCATGTCTGTCCAGTGTCCCTCCAACCTCCACTCCCACCCTCACCCCGGGTCTCCAGCAGCCAGGAACCCTCACCATTCCAGCAGCCGGTGGCGGCAGAAGGCGCATCTGGAGCTGAATGGCAGGATCTCTGCTCCGTCGTGCCGAGCTGAAGGGCCTCTGGGGAGCTCCTGTACAACAGAGCACACACACAGGTGGGGCTGCAATGATACAGGGCACTTCAGCCTAGCCCCACCAGGCCCCTTTCATAGCAGGGTGATCCCACTCCTGCCTCCACCGTCGCCCTCTCCGTGGAGTCTGGGCCTCCCATGGTCACTGGGTTGGAGTCAGAAAGCTTCAACCTCCCTCCCCACCACTGGTTTCTACCCTTCTCTAGGGCACACAGGGTACAATACATTCCCCTTTCTTCTTTGAGTAAATTTCTCAAACCACTTCCTGTTCCACCAGCAAACGAGCAGAGTATCAGCACAGCCACTTTTGCACATTCAACCCAGAGTTAGCGCACAGGGACTGTCCGCACCCCGTCACACCCCTGGACTCAGGGTCCACCCCACCCACAGTGTCTCTGACTCTGATCTTGGCCTGATGTGAGCAGAAGATTAATGAGCACTTCCCACCATCGCAAACAATGCCGGCACAGACACGTGGGCACGCATGCTTCTTTCATCTTTTCAATGACTTTCCCAAGAAAACATCTAGGCCAGAGGCTGCGAGCATGTCCGTGGGATGACACATGTGGCCAAGCAGCTTCCCAACCAAAGCTGCGGGGATGGCACAGTCACCTATGATGTGGACAGCTCAGGTGGGGCGGGCATTCCTTGCTTGGCATCAAGACCTAACACTTGAACTTGCTATGGTTCATTGAGAGGGCAGGCACTTGTCCTAGCTAGCATTTACAGTGAGATCTGTATTTTTCCATGATTCTTTCCTCTTTGCAGTGTTTCCCACTCGGGCCTTTTAGTTCATATCCTCTGTCCTTTCAAGGGGGCGGGTGGCAATTGCAGCACGTTCGTCTTCATTTGTGCCATGTGTTTCTCATACAGTCTATTACTTCCCACCACCCGGGCACTTGTTTCCCATGAACAGTGAGTAAGCTGAGGCTCAGAGAACGGAAGCGACAGGACAAGGCCATGAGGAGTCAATGGTGGAGCTGGGCTTGGGGCCTTCACTCATGTCTGTTCTTCACCACCATTCTGCTCCTTGGTGCCTTTGGAAGAGCACCTGGGATGACAATAGCTCAACACTCAGTCTTCATGTGCTCTACTTCTCAGTTGTCTGCCCTTAAAAAAAATTGACTGGGTTCGCATTTTGCACATAGCTAAGGAACATAGGGAAGTAAGTTGAATTTCACAAATGGCCAAGCACAGGGTAAGATAATGGGATTCCAGTTTTCACTTACCATTTTACTATCCTAAGGGTGGCCTCAAGCAGGAGACACTGGTGTTCTTTGTGTACGAAATAGGCCTAGACACTGGGACCACCTGTCCAAAGGCCAACTCACTTGAATTTCCAAAATGCACCAGTTGGACTGCTACCTGCAGCTCTTGTTTTTATCCTGAGGAAACAATTGACTATGGACAAAAGTTTGTGTATACAATAATGCTACCTGAAGCCAAAAGAACTGGAAAAAACCAAGTGTCCATTGCTAAGAGGACTATCTAAAAGAACTAGGGTACATCTTCCGTGGGATAAAATACAATGCAATCACTGCAAAGGTTTATTCTAAGTAATGAAGAGAGAGACCTGCAATATAATCTTAAGTTAAAAAACAGCAGCCTGAGGTCCAATACTGCTATGGCATAACTGATTAAACTGACACCTGCCATCCTGGCATCCTGTATGGGTACTGGTTCCAGTCCAGCTACTTCACTTGCAATCCAGCTCCCTGCTGATGACCTGGGAGAGCAGTGGAAGATGCCCCAAGTGCACAGACCTCGGCAACCCTGTGGGAGTCTGGGATGAATCTCTTAGCTTCAGCCTGGTCCAGCCCTGGCTGTTACAGTCAGCTGGAGACTGAACTAGCAGGGGCTAGATCTCTCTAACTCTGACCCTCAATTCAATAAAAATAATTTAAAAAAAAATCATAAGGGTCTGGTGTGGTAGCCTAGCAGCTAAAGTCCTCACCTTGCATGCGCCAAGATCCTATATGGGCATCGGTTCTACTCCTGGCAGTCCCACTTCCCATCCAGCTCCCTGCTTGTGGCCTGGGAAATCAGTCAAGGACGGCCCAAAGCCTTGGGTTCCTGCACCCATGTGGGAGACCCAGAGGAAACGCCTCACTCCTGGTTTTGGATCAGCGCAGCTCCAGCCATTGTGGCTGCTTGGGGAGTATATCAACGGGAAGATCTTCCTCTTTGTCTTTCCTCCTCTCTGTATATTTGACTTTACGACAAAGAAAATAAATAAACCTTTAAAAAAAAAAGGTCGTAAGATATATAGGATGATCCCATTTTTGTAAAAATCTGTGTGAAGTGGGGGGGAGGGAGACTGGGAATATAGACACTAAATGATTACAATGATTCTTCTTTTGGTGAAATTTCCTTCTGTTTCCTGATTAACAGTAAGTGTGTATTGCTTTTATAATTTTTAAAATAAAGGATTTTTTTGCCTCCTTTATTTTCCCTGTGTTTTCTCTCCTGGCAAGTTAAGCTGACAAGGTCACCCATGGCCTTGAGACTCCACACACATCTACATCAGCAGAAGGCAGGGTGTGGCCCTCCCCCAGGCGGGAGACATGGACCTTCACGTCTCTGGTCATTTGCTGCACGTAAATCTCACCTTTCAAAGTTACTCCTGTGTTAAAGGCTTTGCGGACTGTCAAACTCTGAAGCCATGCCAAGATGACATTACTGTTTACTGCTTATTTTAACACTGCCGTCATGCTAGATTCGGGGAATTTCCATGCCACTAGTTCCAATGTATTCATAACGAAATACTGGTTAGGCCATTACGACTCAAAGCATCCCAGGTCCAGAGCCACCCGGGGAACCTGGGAAATGCAGAACTGCAGGTTCGCGGGAGCTACTGAATCAGAGCCTGCATTTACCACAGTCCTCCTGGTCAAGCAGGAAAAGCCCCGCCCAAGCACAGGTGCTTTTCTCCCAGGACACTCAAGGAGCAGGAAACACCAGCAATGCTGCAGCTGTCACTATCGAACACACACCCAGAACGTCTGCTGGTCCTGGAGCCAGGTGATCTCAGTTAGGCTCACTCCCAAGTCTCCTTCCAAAGCAGGGTTCCCAGGAGCCCAGGGAGGGCTGGGACCCTGGGGTCAGGAGGCAGCCTCACTGCCATTAGATTGGCTGGCCCTAGAGTAACTGGCTACAAATGGCACCCTTGTCATATCACACACAGTGGCCCCAGCTGGTGCACAGGGTACCACTTGGGCATCTGGGGGGTCATCATAGCAGACTCACCCCCAGGGCTACAGTCTTGTGGGAGGTCACTCAGGCCCCCTGTGACATCTCCACCCTATGCTTAGGACAGCACAGCCTGCCACCCAAAGCTCATGTGCCTGGTCCCACTTCAAATATGCTCTCTCCCCTCCTATCTCTCTAGCTAGCTCCCTGGGTCCTATCCCATTACCTCCTAGTCATGACAGCTAACACCCAACTAAGGTGCTTGCTAATGAGGCAAGTCCTGCTTCCAGGAGCTTCTGTACATTAACTCATTGGAACCTGCTTGGACTGAGTCTCAGAGAAGTGGCCTGACTCCCAGATGACAGAGCCAGCACTGGGACCCAGGCTAGCTGTCTTTAGAGTCAGGTGGAATGAACAAGCAGTACTTCTTGTAGAATGCTTGGAACATTCCCTAAGCGTGTTTTCCAAAATTATTTATTTTTTGAATAAGTAAGTCCCTAATTCACTTCCCAAATGACCACCACTGCCAACCTGGCTGAAGCTGAGAGCCAGAAACAGCACAGGGCTCACTCATGAGTGGCAAGAACCCTACTACTTGAGGCTTCACTGCCAGCCGCATCCCAGGGCACACATGAGCAGGAAGCTGGAGTTGAGATTAGAGCTGGCACTCCAGCCCAGGCCCTCAGATGTGGGATCCAAATGTTTTAGCCACTGTCAACTCTGCCCTGATCGCCAGTTCCTGAAATTCTGTCAATTCCATTAGTTACGCATAAGTTTCCTTCCCAGGAATGGAAGCATCTCAGGTCATGGAATTCTCTGTCTTAATTATGTTGTAACCCCAATACCTAAAAAAGTACCTGGCTTACAGCAATACATGCTACTGAATGAACGAATGAATGAATGATGCCTACAGTAGACATCTTTGCAGGGTTCCTCATCCAAAGTTTTATAACCTTCTTATAATTTCCTAACAGGTGCTGTAACCTGCAGACCAAGTCCAGTAGGAAGAACCTGGGAGTGAGAAAGCTGCTGTATGGATGGTGAGGCCGACTCAAGGAGCATCCTCACACCACCTTGAAGTTCATTCAAGTTCAGGACAAGCAGAGCCACAAGCCTCAAGACTGCCTGGGAAGTCCTGGGATCAACTGTCAGCTCCATGGGGCCCAAGGTTCAAAGTGGGAGCACTCGCTCCACACCAGGGTGTATACAGTATGCATGGGTAGGAACCAAGGCCCCAGGACCAGGGAAACTCCATGCCCTCAGAGCCAAAGGCGGTGCCAAGATTGCTGCCAGGTGTCAAGGGGCCAGAAACGACCTGCCTCGGAAGCTGGGCCTTGAAGGAATGAGATCTTGCCAGGCAGGTGAGTGTTGTGAGGAGGCAAAGACTGGCACCAACACCATCTTTATCATCTTCTCTTGGGCTCCAACAAAAGCCTCATTCTAATTTCGATCATTAGCCCCAGGCTGTTTTCAAAAACTGTGAGAACCAGCAGAGCCAAGTTGAGGCAGTTAGCTGACTCAGGATTTTAATTTAGTCTGAAGTGGTCTGAGTAAGGAGGCCATAAAAATGAAAACTGTGGAAAGGCAGCAGTAATGGATTTAAATGGCCAATGTTGCATGTGCGCAGACTATCTCAAAGATTTCAGCTTGAAAGAAAACGCCTGAATGGGTTTCTAGCAGATAGCTATTTCACCAGCTGTGCTGCTCTGTATTTAGAAGAGATAGTACAAGATTATTAAGAAGGAAAACTATGTTTTCCAAGCACGAACCCAAAAAGTTTTGCCATCTGTTCAGAAAAAAAAAAAAGACCT